AGAACTTGGATCAAGTCCTAGCATCGTGGGTACAGGCCTTAAGGAACTCGGTGCAAGTTTATGGGACAGCTGCAAGTTCTTGTTCCGAGTAATGTGTAGTCAACCAAGTTGCAGCTTTTAACGCCTGTACCCACGATGCCAGAACTCGGTGCAAGTTTATGGAACAGCTGCAAGTTCTAGTTCCGAGAAATGTGTAGCCAATCGACGTGCAGTTTTTACGGAATAGCTGCAAGTTGATTGGCTACACATTTGTCGTAACTAGAACTTGGACCAAGTCCTAGCATCGTGGACACAGGCCTTAAGACGTGGATAGCCCAGTAATTTTTAATATGTGAATTCAAATACCGTTTTTCCACCTGTCCTGTGCGCCGAATTCTTTTCGGACGTTACACGGTTTCGTTCTCGATGGAATATTGTCGTCAGCAAATTCACGCATTTAAATCGACGAACGATTTCTAATTAATTTAAAAAAGGCTATATTTAGCACTCAATACAATAACCCCCTCTCCTTGCTGTAAAGAAATCTTATTGCGAAAAATATTAGTGAATTAGGTATTAACATAATAAGTTATTTTGTAACTTCAGAGCATAGACTTATAGGGCAGTGGCACACAAAATTGCATAGCTGCATATGCATAGCACAAAACCGTCTAAACCAATAAGCATGTCATGTAAATCAATATGGCGACTCAATGCTCGATGTTCATTGGTTTAAATGGTTTTCATGCTGTGCACATGCAGCTATGCAATTTTGTGTGCGATGGCCCATACTCATAGACTGCGCCGTCTTGTGGACGGCTTGAAGATAACACCGAAGGACAGAGATAGGCTGATGGCAGACAACTATCCGTAAGCGCTTAAGACTGACGTAGCCGTAAACTTAAGGTAAGGCAGAGAAAAACATGAGCCGTAAGGAACACGTGTTCTACGGCTTATGTTTTTCTCTGCCTTACCTTAAGTTTACGGCTACGTCAGTCTTAAGCGCTTACGGATAGTTGTCTGCCATCAGCCATGCAGCGCTAGAAAACCTTTCTCTCTCATGAAGTGACAAGAGAGGGGATAAAGCGTCTGCAGAGTGAAGATAGGGGAGGTTTTATATATATACATATATGTGTGTGTGTGTGTATTGCACACGGAGAAAGTCGGAGAAGGCGCGAGGGGACGGGCGATGACGCTTTTCTCCTGATTCCCCCACCAACTGACAAATTAGAAAAAGAGAGGTTCTCTAGCGCTATTGCCCTCTGCGTCTTGTGTTAACTTCACGCCGTTCACAAGACGGCGCAGTCTATGAGTATAAGTCTATGCTTCAGAGAGCCTGTTATTAATTTGTTTTAATTGTAATGATTAATCAATAGTTTAAGTTAATTTTACCACATCTTTCAGAGGCTCTTCCTCAGTTTTAAGTGCGTTTTGGCACGCGTGAGGTGTATTTTTATTAGCAATTTGAAAGTAATATTAGGAGTGGAGACCACTTTTTATCTGGAAAAAAACTCTAGAAATGACCCCAAAAAATATAACAGGGATATAATTTAATTTTTTTTTAGTTAAAGCTTTTTTTTCCTTAGTAGAGCAGAATGTTATGATATCCTTGATCCGTTTATTCGTGTCGCTTTATATAAAAATAGCCCGTTAAGAAAAATCAATAATCTTTACGTGAAGATTCTTGACTTTCCGAGGCCAATCAACGGCTCCGTCCAGTCTTCGTTCGGATTCACGGAATTCCACTCGGAGGAATCCATTGAAAAATGAAGAATCTCTTCCACAGATATATAATATACATAATATATACGATAAGCTAGAATCTAATAATAATTTATAACAAGCCGTTAAATTGCTTTAAAGGTTATTTCACCCTTTTTTTTACCATCGTGAAACCAATATCGCCGTTTTATTAACATTTCTGATCGACCGACGTGACGAATAATCCGGTCTCGCTTCCTGAATTAAATTTGTTGATAAACATTAGCACGTGCGCATAAAATTTCTTTTTCCAAAACGCAAAGCAGAGACGACGAGAGTGGAGGGGGGCGGGCGGTGGGAGAGAGACAGAGAGAGAGAAAGAAACACATTCGATGCAGCTGGCGCAACAGGAGGTCGAGCAGTGACGTACATCTCTGGTTCTCTCGAAGCTTTCCAACTTTCTTCGCCTCGCCTCGCTTCCTCGGATCCTCCTCGGCTGATCCCCGTCCCGGATAGATCTCGCCCCGTTTCGCGGGATCGCGAAAGGCGGATACCGGCGATTAACCGACGGCGATGCCGGAGCCTCCCGATGTACGGGGATACGCGTGAAAAATAATGTTAGGTTTTCCTATTAATGACGCACGCGCGCATTACCGAGCGGCGTAGTCATCATTGATGATATGTAGTGGCATTAATATACGTCCACGTGCGGTTCTCGCTGCTCGGCGTGAGAAAACGAGAAGAAAACGGGGAGGAAAATACTCGTAGTTGACGGACGTTCTCGTAACACGCGGGAACTTGTACTCGTGAAATCGCCGCCGCGCGTTTCGATCAACGGATCGGAGAGAAAGAGAGAGAGAGAGAGCGATCGGCCACGGTGGCGGACCAGGGGTTCCCGAGGGGAGGAGAACGGAGCGATCTCTCCGGGGATGTCCAGCGATGGGACGCGTCGTGCCAGAACTTCAGCAGGTTGCAAGGGTTACAAGCGTGTATTTATTTTGAAGACGAATGTCGGTGTTGTTTATCTCGCGACTGTATGACGCCCCGCGGTATGATTTATAGAGTCTACGTCCATATTCTGAATTCTCTTTTATTGCCAAAAGCGTCGCTAAAATTGGCTTTAAAGGATTCTTATTAGCTGAAAAGATCTTTTATGGACATGTTTGTCGATGAAAGAGGATTCGGAGTACGGGCCGAAGTGAGTTTTCTCGGATTTCATTTCCGCAACAGGCCTTTGACGCCCGTATCAGACTACGGATTGAGTTTGGGATTAAATGGAAATTTGACCAATCACAGTAAAGTTTACTAATCTCAAGTTTAGTAACGTTTACTCTAATTGGTCAAATTTCAATCTAATCCCAATCTCAATCCGTAGTCTGATACGGGCTTAAGCCTTGAGCCTTGTGTATCCGCGGTCCGAGATCTGCGTCCAAGTTCTACAATAGTTCCGAGAAATGTATAGCCAGTCAACTCGCAGTTCCGTAAAAGCGGCAAGCTGATTGGCTACAAACCTCTTGGAACTAGAACTTGGACACAGAGTTCTCGAATTGCGGACGCAAGGCCTTAAGCCCGTGTCACACTACGTATTGCGGACGCGGATTGGATTACGGATCGTACAAATAGACAGTCATCTATCCAGTGATCTGCAATCCGGATCCCAAGTTGCCTCGCTGTGATTGGCTGAATTTCGATCCGCAATCCGTAATCCCAATCCAATCCGCGTCCGCAATACGTAGTGGGACACGGGCTTTAAGCCCGTATCAGACTACGGATTGGGATTGAGATTAGATTGAAATTTGATCAATTAGAGTAAAAGTTACCGAACTTGGGATTTGTAAACTTTACTGTGATTGGTCAACTTTCAATCTAATCCCAATCTCAATCCGTAGTCTGATACGGGATTTAGATTATGCGGAGAGCGAGATTTGATTGAGTGAACTTCGCTCCGATTGTTCAAGTCTCGATCTAATCGCACTCTCGATTCGTAGTTTGATGCGAGCGGAACGGCTGTCTTGTACTTTTGAGGCAGTGTTTTACACCGCGAGTTTTTGTGTAATCCAGTCGGAGCGAGAGACCGCGCGGCGCGACGCCTCGGCAATTTCGCGGAACGATACGCGGCTGCGACAGATCGCTCGAGGCGCGCGGTGACACAGTTTTCAGCGCGGATACACTTGTTACCGAGTCGCGCGCGCGCGCGCGGAACGGCCACGAGTCAGTTAACGTTTCGCCGTCGGTAGCAATCTCCGCGCCGCGGTAATTCAATAACGGGAATCGGGCGCGCTTGTAACGGCGCAGGTAACACGCGGGCGAATTCCGGCGCGACGGTCCGCCGCGCCGGGGACGGTGTAATCTCGTTAAGCTTATTGTACAATGGACGTACGCAAAACGCCAAGACGCTAAGCCACAACACGAGAAATCGATCGATCACAGTCAAATAGAAGGATGATTGACTGTTATTGGCCGATTTCTTGCGCCTTGCGACCTGCTTTGTCTACTGTAGAATCGGCCCAACGGCCTGTGTCCACGATGGTAGAACTTGGTCCAAGTTCTAGTTCTGAGAAACGTGTAGCCAATCAACTTGCAACTTTTATGGGATAGCTATACATTCTCGAAACTAGAACTTGGGCCAAGCTCTAGTTTCTAGCATCGTGGACACAGGCCTTAAAGCTTATTCTACAATTGACGCAAGACACTAAGCCGCAACGCGAGAAATCGATCGATCACAGTCAAATATGCAATGAGAAGGATGATCGACTGTCATTAACCGATTTCTTGCGGCTTGCGACCTGCGACCTGCTTTGTCTACTGTAGAATCGGCCCAAAGGCCTGTGTCCACGACGTTAGAACTTGGTCCAAGTTCTAGTTACGAGAAATGTGTAGCCAATCAACTTGCAGCTTTTATAGAATAGCTGCAAGTTGATTGGCTACACATTTCTCGGAATTAGAACTTGCAGCTTTTTCATAAACTTGCACCAATCGTGTCACAGCATCGTGGACACAGGCCTTAAAGCTTATTCTACGATGGATGCAAGACACAGGCCGTCTAAGTCGCAACGTAAGTAATCGGTCGATTTTTCGCATTGCAACTTATTTTTAGCCTCTTGCGTCCATTGTAGGACAAGCTTAAGAGCGTCGCGCTGCATCTCGACATCGTTTATCCGGGGCTCCGTTTCTCGCGATTCGCGGCGGGACGAATCGCGTGTCCGGCCGAACTTAACGGACGGAGGCGACTTGTCGCTGGCGCATTGTTACGGCAGCGTCCGTCGTTATGCGCAATTAACATTCATTTACGCTCGCTTTTCTTATCTGAAAACGCAGGCGTATTTATAATTGCGCGCGCCCGCCGTGTTTTTCCATTTCCAGAGGTGCACTTTTCTCTCTTCCGCGTTTTGCGCGGTACTGCTGGTCGATTGTTCCGACGCGAGGAGTCCGCGGAAACATTTCCGTGGAAACACTGTAAACATGACTAGTCGTCAAATCGCTCGACAATCTTCAGTTTTTTTGGCGATATTTTTGCGATAATCTACGATTGTGCCTGCAGCGATAAGATTGCACATTTCAGTTCTAAATATAGAAAGAAACCGTACGGTTAACATAGCATTTCGTATATCGTGTTGTATCATGGTAGAAGGATTGGGAATATTAAGGCGCAAGATTCAAGAAACTGACTAATCAGTCGAATGTGAAGAGAATAATCGATCGCTATTGGTCATTCTTTTACATCTTACGTCTTAAAGAACCATAGGAAAACTTTGGTAGTAAGACTTGAGACGTGTAAGAACTAGAATCAACCGGAATTTTCAACATTGCTTAAGTTTCAAATGACTTTTTACGTTCTCGACTGTCATTTTAATTATTGCTTAAGTTTTTTTCGTGTGTTTGGGCGCGATAACTATCTTATCTCGCAAGTCTTATTGTTAAATGTCTACACGACGATAACATTTGCAAAGAATAAACGTATCTAAACGAAAGTAATAATACGATGGTAAGTCGATTGTTCCCCTCACATTGGACTGCGGTTGGTCAAATTTATACGGCCTAATGCTTACCACCCTACTCAAACTGGGACTTACGAGTCCCTGTTATCAGTCTGGCGAACACGCAGTTTCGGCCATGGACCGAGCGTTTGCCTTTATTTGAGCAGTGGGGGTAGAGGTTCACGTAGAAAAAGGACAAACTCTGTTTTGTGCTAGAGACCCTCTGATCAGAGTCTGGCCAACAGAGTTGTTCGCCATGTTTTGTCAAATCCAACGAGAGAGAGAGAGAGAGAGAGAGAGAGATTCCCTCTCACTCTACATGACGCCTATACTGTAATAAGCTCTCGCATTATTTTGCCGAAACTGGCCTGCTGGCCAGACTGACTGGCGGGAGTCTACTGGGGCTGAGGACGACCTGATACAAGTTTCAGGATTCATCGATTGTTATCAATTCAAGATTACTCGAAGCAACAGTTTTAGCTACGCGACTCGTCCCTAATCTGATCCCTCTCGTTTACCGATTTTGATATGTGAATTCGCTGACGACAATGACTCCATCTAAACGAAACTGTGTTATATCCGGAAAGAGAATTCACACTTTAGATTACAATTATTGGACTACCAACATCTTGCGCGGACCTAAAGGCGCTCCCGCTTGTTTGATTCTAATCCCTTCCGTTGCACATGTTAAACAACAAGAAGTCAATTCCATGTTAATAGAAGAGCCGCAGGTGTTGCTCGTTAAATTGATCGCCGGTCAAGTGAATCGGAGTCCCCGCTCCAAGTCACCCTGGAACCGCGGACAGCGTGTCGCGGCGTGTAACGAGTAAATCGGGCGAGTCAACTCGTCGTCGAGTGACCCGCGGGAAAAAAGGAGTCCAAACCGCGGTCTAAATTAAGCCAAGTGCACCGCAAATAGACACGGCAACGCGTCCGCATCACCTCGACATTTCGATCGTCTCTCTCTCTCCCCCTCCCGGGACGAACGCGCCTGGAATCGTCGCCCCGCGGCGACAAGTGGCACGATGCGTGCCGCTCGAATAAAAGTCACTGACGTCAATAGGTAGCGTGAGACGCGATCCGTATTTATGAAACAATCGAGTTCTGGTTTTTCTTCTCCCCCTCCCGCGACTGCGTCCTCCGCCCCGAGAGGCACGCACGGCGGGTGGCCGCGGTATCACGGGCGACTTTTTGCCCGGTTCTTTTCACGCCGACTCTGCAACGAGATCCGCGAGCAAATCGCGGCACTTATCTGTTACGTGTGTCAGGCCAATATTACGCTCCCGCGATCCCGTCTCAAGTGTCCAACTGACGGCTAATCAATTCGCCGTCGGCCGCGGTCGCGCAGGCACGAGAGATGCGGGCCTGTTAATCGAGGCCGGGATCACGGTCGAATTACGCGCCCGCGCGGACCTTGCCGCGGAGATTAAAATGAATGGTGTATCGCGATATCGAATATTCACGTCGAAAAGCGCGGAAACGCGACTTGGCGCGAATAATAATAAACAGCCTTCGCCGCGTCGCGCGACCGGAGACTTCTCTCAGCCTCAGCCGTAACGAGATAACTCGGCAGCGTCTCGCCGCGATCGAGAGATCGTCTCAGAGCCGCTTGAGCGGGTGAGACCCGATCCCGTCGCGTCGGGTCACTCGACGTTCCGGAAGACTGAAATTTCGTAGGCGGCGCGCTCTTCAGCGTAACGCACTTGTCCCGGTTGGATTAAATTCTTAGTAGGCCTCTCTGGTTGCAGCCCTCGAGCAAGGAGCAGGCGCGATTGAGCAGTCATGATTCGATGGGCAACAAGGACCGCCGTCGACAGAAAGATGGGTCAGGCAGCGGCGGAAGTAGCGGCAACGGTAGCAGCACTTACAGCGCCTTCCGTCAGTGGCGGCGGAGCACTTCGATGGGCTCCCACAGCAGCCGGTCCAACAGCGCCGGCTCCAGATCGCCCGGCTCGCTCGCCAAATTGCCCAGCGACCCGGCCACCATGCGAAAGATGGAACAGTTCCCCCTGGTCCTGTCCGACGCGACGATGCCGGACGAGGATCTCTCCTTGAAATTTCTCGCCCTGGTACGTGTGTTTGTACACAGCCCGGTCCCAACGTTTGTACACACTCGGCTCCCGCGAAAACAGTGTAACTGATCAGCGCCGTCTTACGATGTTTCAGAACGCCCTGGATCTTACGGCGCCGGCCAGCGACGTGCTCTTGAAGAACAGACTCAAGTCCTGGTTCCAACTGTCGGGCCACCCGGACGGCTTCGCACCCGCCGGTCCCGGCACCGTCTGGAAGAGGAGGGCCGGCGGCGCCGAGAACACGGAGCGCGCGGTTTACGAGACCCTGAGCAAGGAGGAAGCGTTGCGGGATTGTATTCCGAGGTTTACTTGCAGATCCTTTTTCCTTTTGTTTTTTGGACGTAAGCGAGAGTGAGACCAGACCACGGGACTCAACACTTTTGTTGCTCCTCGCAGATATTACCGGGAGGTCGAGTACAAGGGCGACACGTTTATCGAGCTGCAGGATCTACTCTTCGGTTTCAACGATCCGCACGTGATGGACATTAAGATGGGCACGCGGACTTTTCTCGAGTCCGAGGTGTCCAAGACCACCGCCAGGCCGGACCTGTATCAGAAGATGATCGCCGTCGATCCGGACGCGCCGACCCAGCTGGAGCACGAGCAGCGCGCCGTAACCAAGTTACGGTACATGCAGTTTCGCGAGCAGCAAAGCTCGACCTGCAGCCACGGTTTTCGCATCGAGGCGATGAAGCTGCCGGGCGCGCCGCCGATCACCGATCTCAAGAAGGTCAAGTCGTATTCGGAGGTGTTCGACATCATAAGGCAATTCCTCGGCAAGCGCGAGGACAGTCGTCAAAAGATCCTCGCGCGCCTCAAGAGCCTGCGAACCAAAGTTGAGGAGTCAGAATATTTTGAAACTCACGAGGTACGACGCTCGGGCTGTTTCTACTGATTGCCGTGCGATTTATTTTGTCCGTCTGCTCGAACTTGTTGTTTCACTCTTCAGGTAATCGGCAGTAGTATCTTCATGATCTACGACAGCAAGAAGGTGGGCGTCTGGCTGATAGATTTCGCGAAAACGCGGGAGGTGCCGGACGGGCGGAAGCTCACGCACAGACGTCCTTGGGAGGAGGGTAACCACGAAGAGGGTTTCTTATACGGATTGGACAACTTAATTTCGACCATGGAAGAAGTCCGCCTTTCTCCGTAAACATCCTCGATGCTCGCGTGACGCGAAATTCGGGGACTTTTCTACGCTGCGAAACATCGCTTACCCATGTACATAGACCGAGTGAAACAAGTATTCGTATTCCATCGTTTATAAATGACTTCTAATTAAATGTAAGTGCGCCAGTATCATCGGATCATCGACAAGTGGAGTTGCGTATAAGTGAGTAAAGTACTGACCGCCGAAAAGTGGTACATACTCGTTTCGCTTACTTTCGCTCACCTCCCGGCCTTGTCGCAAGTCCGACATATTCATCGTCGTTATTTATATCACCCGATATGTATGTATATTTAACGTGGAAGACTGCTTTCTATTGCATTTCACGCGCATTTTTGTAAGAGACGTGTCTCCAACATATTACTCTGTGTACAAACGCGTAATGTACAAAAGTAGCTTTTAAGCTAACGATAAGTAACATAACGTGCTGAGCTAAACGAAACTTATTTATGAGAAGTGCTTACGTCGAATATTAATGGTAAGGTTCTTACTTTTTTTAAAGAGTACTTGTCTCGAATCGCTTCGTGTTTCAACTTGTAGGAATAAATAAATAATCTTCGTACGTACGTGTGTCCGGAGACTAATCTTATCCAGTTTAAACACCATGAATCATTATGGATGGCGTAAGCTCGAGAGTTTTTGTATTTGGAAGAATTATAATTCTATAAGGTGTGAAAAATGGCTGAAAAACTGTTCGATGCGAAAAGTCACGGTCGATCCGCGAATTTCGCATCGAAAGCATACTGGCTTTCAATCCTATTTTTCAAAGAGACGTCTCGAAGACAGATAATTCGCTTTTTGTATAATTCAACGATTATTTAAATGAGAATCTTGTAGAAATCCATTTTTTTCGTATCGTATCTCTACCCGCGGCACTCTCGCGCCACTGAATACATTACAACAAAACTTCATCAATTTTATTCCGCGATTTATGACCACGAGTTGTTTGTCAAATATTATGGGAGGTTTCGTTCACGCCACCTTTTTTGTACGCGATCGTTTTGGATGTAAACAAGGGAAAGAAGATTAAAAGAAAAACAGTCTTAGGCCCGGTTGCACCAACGTCACGTAATTTTAACTGTAGCTTAATTCACTCTTTGTCGCTTTCCAACTGTTTCCCTTAGAAAGAGACAAAGAGTGAAATAAGCTAAAGTTAAATCTAAGCGACGTTGGTGCAACCAGGCCTTAACGACGTAATAAATACATGAAAGATAGCGGAACTATAAAACGTTTAAGACAATTGTTCGTTATCGCTTATCGGATTCGTCTATCTCGAGCCTCCTCCGAGATTCATAATCAAAATCATGCGATCGGTCTTATCCGACATCGCGTGAGAAAAGCGACGTCCGCAGCAAGATACGTGGATACAGTTTTTTTTTCGGACAACTAATTAATTTTTTGCATCACTACAAAAAATATCCTGAATTTCATCCGAGATCACTTCCTCATTACTCTGTAATTTAGCTCCCGGCGATTACCGTTTATCTTCAACTTCCAAGTCCATTTTCGCGGGGAGGAAAGTTTACCAGTGGCGATTTCATTTGCATTTTACTTCGCCTTTTTTTCCGAGCCGGAAACTTTCGGATGTATACGCAGGTCGAGCGTTCTGCGCGGACCGTGCAACGTGTACGTAAACACACGGCGCATTGACAGGCGGCCAGCTGGAGGTCAATTCTGTATCTTGTATCATACCTAGTGAACACCAAATAGCAGTTACGTAACATCAATGTTACATTTTTCTACTCAACAATATAAATGTAATTTATAATTAGAGACAAATCCCTTGTTAGTAGATAGGCTCCTAATATGAGACAGCGGGGTTTCTGCTAAATTAATAGGCGTCGTCTGTTGGTTCCACCATGATATTGTCTTTGGGGTGAAATCTCTTTAGTGGAAAATTGATTGTCAGATCGTGTAATCGTAGCGAAAAAAGATTGGTGATCGAATGTGAACGTTGAAAACCTGTGTTCACTGGGTAGCGAAAATGCTAAAAGTGAGTAGCTCTGTCTCTTTCCAACTATCCCCTCGGAAAGAGACAAAGCCGGTCGCTTTTGTTGGCATTTTCACAGTGTCGTAATAAGATACAGAATTGACCCCTGGAGCGCGCGTTGGAAAACAAACAACGCAAACATCGTGCGAGGCGAGCAGAGGTGGGAGCCGCGTTCAGGTGCGTGTGCGGGCGCGAGGAACGCGCGTGCAGTCGGTTTAATGTTGTCGCTTTAACGCCCACGTACTCCGCCTCGGCCCGTGTCCTTTCGCTCGCCGTCGTTCGTGCGCCGCGAGTGTCCGCGCGTTTCCCGCCGACGTCCTCGCGGATCTTGAAGCAGACGACCCGTTGCCGTCTCTCGCGAGTCCGCTCCACGTGTTAGGAGCGCGTCGCGCGTCAAATTGTCGGTCGATCGTCCCGGGAGAGGGACGTAGAGTGTGTCCCGAGTCGAGGAGTCGTTACGACTGGTAGGTGTCCAGTAAAGACCGACCGGTGCCTGTTTCTACCAATACAGATTAACTTTAATCTCGGTTTATAATTTGCTTTCCATCCTTGTCCAACTCTTAGGCCCGGTTTCACCAACGTAGCTTAACTTTAAGCTTAGCTTAATTCGTTCTTTGTCTCTTTCCAACTGTTAATTTAGAAAGAGGCAAACACGAATTCAACCGAGATTGAAGTTAAGCGACGTGTGGTGAAACCGGATCTTAGAACTAGAAAAAGATAAAAGGAAAGTTAAACCGAGATCAAAATTAATCCACATCGGTAGAAATATGGACGTAAGGGCCAGTTTCAACGTCGGTTAACTGTTGACCAGAGTTCAGTTAATTCCCTATCTTTCTCCATCTTATTTGAGAAGAGACAGAGAATCAAGTAACCTTCGGTTAGCAGTTAACCGACGTTTATGAAACGCCCTAACAGTTAGATAACACCAATATTATTATTCACTACTCAACAATGTAATTGTTACGTGCAACGTTACATTACATTTATATCGTTGCGTGAGAAATTATAATATTGACGTTAGGTAACTGTTGGCCAGTGTTTACCGAGTAGAACGCACGTGGTACATGCGAACTCCTCGACGATATCGCGGCGCGGTGCGAGGACGAGGATTACTCTCGGCGAGCTTGCTGGCCATGGCGACCTCCCAGGACCTGGAGGACGACTGGACCATGCTGTGCTACGACCCCGACAACTGGACGCGGAACGGTGAGGCGCAGCGCGAGAATACGATATTCCTGATCGAAAATTAGCGGTACCTCGACTCCGACCGCTCGAGCCGGGTCGGCGAAAACGGTTGGTTATCGAAACGTCCCAAGAAGAAATAAAGAAAGCCAAGATGACGTCAATTTCATATTATATTGATCAAAATATGACATAAATTTGGCCAATATGTCGTCAAAGTGACGTCATCCTGACTTTTCATATCTCCTCGGTGTGTTGCGCGCGAGAAGACGCGAGTATTGAGCCTAGTCTACGATATGCTCTTTGCGTCTAGAAACACTCTGTTTTGTAGCCAACAAATGCGTTAAAACAATTGATCAGTTGTACCCCAAGGAGAAATGAATAGTCAATATGACATAAATTTCGATGACAAAACGTCATCTTGACTTTTTATTTCTCCTTGGGACAGTGCACATTGTGCAATCGTACATTGTCGACAAGTTTTTTTTTTTATTTGCTTGTATAAAATACAGTGTTTCCAGATGCAAAGAGCACCCTGTAGATTAGGCTTTACGCCACTCGTAATCACGAGAGCGATAGCGTATTTGACATTTCGGGCTCCCGCAACGGGATCGTCGACGAGCGGATCGGATTCCGCGCGTCGCGCCCGTCCCACGTTCGCAAAAACGGGTCTCTCTCTCTCTCTCTCTCCTCCGCGTCCGTTCCCGAGGCCCGGTATCGCCGCGGGAAAGTACCGATAACGCGGAATCCCCCCCCGCTCGTTCCGAGAGCCGCGCAACGGCGAGCCGTCGCAGCGGAAAAAAAATTGTGGGAAGGCACGCGGAGGAATTTATCGGACGCAACGACCGTTAATGCCCGCCGGGGAGCCGGCGGTAACTTTCTTTTCGATTGACGGAGGAAGAATCGTCGCTCGCGGCGCGGAACCCGGCGCCGCGTCGCTGAAAAGAGAATACCCTCCTCCCGCCTTGTGCTCTCCGCGCGAGCGAGACGCCGCGTCGCACCGGCGCGACTCGTACGTGGGAAGGGACGGTCGTAATCGCGCGCCCGGTCCAAGTCTTGTTTATTGCCGGCGCGCGTATAATCTCCGACGTAACGCCTTACGCCTTCGCGCCCGGCGCGTGCCGTGGACACGTTCGCTCGATCACGCACTTTCCTCGTTGTAAAACTATGCCGGGCGCGCGCGCGCGATTACGTAAAGCGCGGCCGGTGGCGCGGTCGAAACGCGCCGCGATCCTCCCGCATTGTCGTCGCGCAAGAGTGAAAACGCTTGTAAAGAGTAAATGCCACTTGAGACGCAACTTTGGACGACGTAGACAGCTGGACGTGGAGCGGAAAGCTATTGGACGATTAAACATTCCTAGGGTTTTAGTAAATGTTTATCTCCTTCATTTGTTTCCGTGGTAGATTTTATCGAGAGACACTGCCGCATCTTACATCAAATGTATACAGAGTGTTGTGTAATACCCGCTTCACCTCTTATTTACGAATAGAGCAGGCTAGACTGAGTCGAGAAGTCTTCGACTATTTTGCAATTTTCGCAATAGTTAACAATTAATTATTAAATATCGCTCAGCCCGGCTTACCGCTCAATTCAAGCGCACTGCGAGATGCGGCCGTTCCGCAATCGGCGTTGCTAGGCGCGCGGGGAGTTGTTTATTATACGTAGCCTTTGCCATGTGTCATACAGCGCATTCGGTTGCTTGCACTAGTGCGCACTGAGTGCTCACTGAGACTTGTTTACGGGGCCAATTCTTATATTTAAGGATCGTCTTAAATATCTCTGGAAATATTTAGCCAGTAAAATGATCTATGTAGCATCCATACGGATTATTTTTTGGCTAAATACTCTTCGAACATGTATTTAAGACAAAGTTAAATGTCAAAGTGACTGTAAACAGGCCTTAGTGTGCACTCGGTGCGCACTAGTGCAAGCAATCGAATTCGCTAATAAACAATTCCCCGCGCGCCTAGCAACGCCGATCGCGGGACGGCCGCATCTCGAACTTGAATTGGGCGGGTAGGCCGGGCAAAAACAGCGATTTTTAATAATTAATAACTCGTTAACTATTGCGAAAATTGCAAAATGGTAGAGGACTTTTCAACTCATTGTCAGTCTAACTCGCTCCATCCGTAATTAAGAGGTGAGGTGGGTATTACGTAACACTCTGTATAGAGTAGAGACCGGATTACATCCGTCCACGCCTTTTCCGACACCCCCCTAGTAGCACAGTGCATTGATCAAACATTGGTTCAACATTGGCCCAATACAAGCAAATATTGGGCTAATGTTTAGCCAATGCACTGTGCTATCGAATTGTCCGACTTTGCTGTCAAACGTTGTCTCTTCTCGTTGTCAGTCAGTCTAATCAGTTTGCATAGCATTTTCATATGTTTAAGTTAATATTATGAATAAGTCAGTTTTCTTTTAATAGATTTTCCTTTTTTCTGGGAAACTGAATTTTTTACTGCATTTTTATTCAAGTTGACGATAAAATTTCATCGATTCTATCCACGATTTAATCGGAAAACTTAATCAGAAAAACCGATGGCTAATTTTTCATCGGAAACACCACTTAATCGATTTATCCAATGGACATTTTTCTCAAGGTGAAGATTACTGCGTTGCTTATGTGTATAGAGTTAAAGGTACAAAAGATACAAAGATCTCTATTTAAAATAGATTTTTACGAAATAAAATGTAATCTCGATCGAGTCGAAGATTATTTTATAAAATAAAATATATCCGGCTTTTTCGACTACTCGACCTGCAGTCAGTCCACATCAGGTTGGATAATCCGAGCTCTACTGTATTATTAAAAATCTTTTCGTAATTATATTTTTGCAAAAAATTATACCATGACGCGGCAAAATGAGTACGAAACTCGTGTAGACAAAAAAGTTCAAAAGTCTCGGACGCCCCCGAGAATAATCACCGAGAGCTCGCGTCTGCGCCTGTGACACGCGAAGTACGTTCGCCGCTTTTCCGTCGGCGGAATCCGACGCCGCCGGCGAGTTTTCGCCCCGCGAACGAGTTATCGAGCCGCGTAATTGGCAGATCGAATGACAGTGAGCGACTCGACTCCGCGGCTTTCCTTCGTTAACGAGGGCTCTTCGCCTCCGTTTCCGGATTCATCGAGATCCGCCGCGCGCGCCGTCGATACTTTCCCGTCGACCACTGCCGCATTTCGCGAGTCGCGATTCCGCGGGCGATTATGAAGGCCCGTGTCCACGACGCTAGAACCTGGTCCAAGTTCTAGTTCCGAGAAATGTGTGGCCGGTCAACTTGCAGCTATTCCATAAAAGCTGCAAGTTGACCGGCTACACATTTCTCAAAACTAGAACTTGGACCAAGTTCCAGCGTCGTGGACACAGGCCTTGAGACTCCCGAAGATTTCACCACGAGCCGTTCCATATTCCGCTGCTTCCCCGATAAGGTCAACAGCGGAGGTGTTTCAGATTTAACTGACACGCGCGCGCGAGACAATCACACGCGAAAAACCGCATCGCTAAGAAATAACGCCAACTTTCACGATTGTGACCTCGAGAGATCGCGTTCGAATTTATTCTTCCTTGGAGAGGAGAGTTTGAAACTTTGTACCGTTTCTCATTCGAATCGCTGCGATTTTGTAGGCGACCTCGAGCTTCGATCGACGCGATTAATTTGTTGAGTAACATTTCGTTGAAAAGTCGACAAAATGATTAATTATATTAAATTGATTATAACAATTAATTAACCAGTCGACGATTTGCCGGCTGTTGGTTGGAACCAGCAGTTTTACACATTTTAAGTGTATTATTGCCTCGATTAGATCAGCCATCGCGCTTAAATCTACTCGGTGTCTTTCCCACGGCTTCCGTTTGTCAATCTCATGTTCTTTAGACTTGGTGCAGTTGGATTTCACTTCTTTTTGCCGCTTAATCCGGGGTTTCCTTTATTCTGGTCCGAATGTTTGATAGATTGTGAATATTAGCAGAATTTTCCTGCGATTTTATTTTCAAAATTGCACTACCTTTGTACATTCAATTTTTGAATATTCACCTTTAGGCTCGTCAGAAAGCGTATAGATCATTTATCTATCATCGCTGAAGTTAGCTCAAAGTAGACCCGAAATGTACAATTTATAATTACTAGAAACGATAAAATGCGCGCTTCGCGCGCGCAGTTTGTGGTCAAGCATTGTATATTTTTAAAAATTTGTATATACGCGAAGAAGTAATTGTGCAAATTGTAAAAATGCGCAACGTCAATTTAAAATACTAATCGAAGAAGTGGATCTTATATCCTATTAGTTAACAAATATTGCTGTAACATCAACTTAGCCGTCAACCGCGAACTCTCCAAACCTCTTTATTTGTCACTTGGTAATTCAATTATTAATTGTTACCGTTTGATTAGATTAGGAACAGCGATTCATATAAAAAGAAGCTATAATTATTATAATCGCTGCAATTGAATTTTGATTCAATTAATCGCCGATTAAGTTAATCGGACTCTAGTCAAAGTCACTCCAGATAATATCATTACTTACGTATGTATGACATCGATTTATATAATATGTAGTTCAGGTAGCCGCAAATAGCGCGAATGAAAAAGATGTGAGGCGCCAGCAAAGCTACCTGTGATAAAAACAAGATGATCAGAACACAAGGCGGAGGAATAGATTGTCGTGAGGCAAAAACTCGGTGAGCAGAGCGTGAAAAAAGTCTTCAAAGTGTAGAACAGAACGTGAACTAGGTAGAGCGTAAACAGAACCTAAATAAGAATACGATATTGCATGATAAAGTAGGTATAAAAAGCAAAATTCAATAAAACAGGTAGATCAAGCGTAGCTTCTACGTCTTTGCATACCGAACGATCGAATTGGCAGCGATCGGTCATGCCCTTTCTACACCTAAGAATAATGAGAAGTAGTGTAGACGGACACTTCACTATGACTATGCCCGGCTACACTATTTATGTATACGGAGAGAATTTTCTTTCAAAATTTCTCCTGCAAATTGTATGCCTAGGGACAACACGACAT